GGGCACCTGCAGCTCTGCGCAGTGCGCCACGCCTTCTGCCGCACCCGCGGGCCTGCACTGGCGCTTGGTCTCGCGGAGCCTTTTGGAGAAGGCTGTCCGGGGTTTCCTGTCACTCCGAGGACGTAGGCTGCATGCAGCTCCTGTTCCGAACCCTGCCAGGATATCCACAATAGTGTTGGGCTCCGCGTTTCCATCCAGCCATCAATAGTGTTGTGTTTTGTTTTGTTTTTGAGACGGAGTCTCGCTCTGTTGGCCAGGTTGGAGTGCAGTGGCGTGATCTTGGCTCACTGCAACCTCCGTCTCCTGGACTAAAGCAGTTCTCCTTCCTCAGCCTCCGAATAGCTGGAATTACAGGTATGTGCCACCGCGCCCGGCTAATGTTTGTAGTTTTAGTAGAGATGGGGTTTCACCATGTTGGCCAGGCTGCTCTTGAACTCCTGGCCTCAGGTGATCCACCTGCCTTGGCCTCCCAAAGTGCTGGGATTACAGGCGTGAGCTACCTCGTCCGGCCCATCAACAGTGTCTTGATAGGAGATACTGTTAGTTGGTGGATAGTTATTTCCTACCTTTACTGCTTGGGGGAGAAGGGTTGGGCAGATACACTTTTACTCGAGGTGGACAGAGAGTCTGAGGAATGCTGCAGGACTGTTCATCCCAGTGATATGTAAATGTACTGTAATTTGCAAGAAGAGTTGCAATGTTATTATTAGGGAAGGATAGCAGTGACACCTCATCTGCTACCATCTGCTCGGAGGGTCCATGTAAATTGGGCTTTGCTCTGTAAAACAAGGCTTGGAAGGTCATGTCAGTAACAGTGCCTTATCTGGCATCTCCTGGAATGAGGGGTCCCAGGTAGGAATTGTCTCTATATAACAAGTTTAGACTTTCTGAGGGACTTCTTTATAGAATGTATTGCATAAACCTTTGTTCTTTGTAGGAGGCTAAATATTGATTTCCCAAAGATGTCCCTGTCCTAATCCCTGGAACCTGTGAATGTCATCTTATATAGCAAAAGAGACTTTGAAGATGTGGTTAAAGACCCTAAGATGGGAGATCATCCTAGATTATTTGGATGTAACCATCCTTATAAGGGAAAGGCAGGAGGAGTTACCATCAGAGAAGGCCACATGAGGACAGAAGCAGAGTTAGAGGCTTTGAAGATGGAGGAAGGGGCCAGCAACCAAGGAATGCAGCCCTCCTCTAGAAGCTAGAAAAGGCAAGGAAACAGATTTCTCCCATGGAGCCTCCAGAAGGAGCCAGCCCTGCTAAGACGTTGATCTTAGCCTTCTAGGCTTGTTTTGGACTTCTGACCTCCAGGATCAGGAGAGTATAAATGTGTGTTGTTTAAGTGACCGAATTTGTGGTGATTTGTTGCAGTAGCCCTAGGGAACTGATCTACCTTCTTAGGCAGAGGACACTAGCTGTCATTTCATGGTTGATTGTTGGTTGTTCTCCACCTTCCTGTTTTGGCCTAGTGGATGTCATTTAACCTCTTGTGAACCCTGGTTGTTGTGAGTTTGTTTTGGTTCTGTGCACCAGGGCAGTGATTTTCTTAGGAGCCATTCAGGAATGGGCTGGGGATGGGCTTTAACCCCTAAGTGAATCCACTGAGTTGTGTTCTGGTGTTTTGAGTTTTGTTAACCTTAAAATTTTTTTTCTTTTCTTTTTTTTTTTTTTTGTAGAGACAGGGTCTCACTCTGTTGCCCAGGCCGATCTCAAATTCCTGGGCTCAAGCAATCCTCCTGCTTTAGCCTCCCAAAGTGCTGGGATTACAGGCATGAATCAGCATGCCCAGCCTACTTTTCAACGTGTTGGTGTCCTTCCCCCGTGCCTGGCCGTGGCCATAAACATTGCTTTTTCTCTGTAATGCGAGTGGTTACTCTTGGCAGTCACGCTGCTTGCTTTGCTCACCTCTTCTAACCCGTGAACTATGAAACCAGTGCTCAGTATAATCTTTCACTGTGACTTCAGGACTTGTGGTACCCACGAGGCCGTTTCTCTTCTGTCGTCGTAGCTGTGGGTTGGGTGACTTCTAGCTAGCGGCTTGCTAAGGTGAACCCAGACACACAACAGCATATGGTCCTTTCCTAGGGTTTTGCAGAAGCAGCTATGCCAGTTGCTAACTGAGCAGTCCTTGGAACCCTTGTTTCCCAGAGCGTGGTCTACAGACCCCTGACATGGGCATGACCTGGGGCTTGTCACAAGTGCAGAATCTCAGAGCTGCAGACCTACAGAAGGGGAAGTTTGCATTTGAACACCGTCCCTAGGGGCTTGGGTCATCCACTGGAGTCTAAGAGCCCAGTGAGAGACCTGGCAGGAGCCACTGGCTCTGCTGGAAGCTCTTAGCCTTGTCCAAGAAGGGTTGTACCTGCTAGGGCCCATTCCAGTGGCTTCCCTCACTGGAGTAGTGAACCAGCGCTGGACTGAAGTCCTCTCTTGCCTGCTTTCTCTCTGCAGGTGTCAAGCTAGGGATGCGGTCCATTCCCATTGCCACTGCTTGCACCATTTACCATAAGTTCTTCTGTGAGACCAACCTGGATGCCTATGACCCTTACCTGATTGCCATGTCTTCCATTTACTTGGCTGGCAAAGTGGAAGAGCAGCACCTGCGGACTCGTGACATCATCAATGTGTCCAACAGGTAATGGCATTTGGATGGGCTCCTGGTGTCCACGCGGTGGGGGGGAAGGGTAGGGAAGGCTCCTACGGGGCCCTGCCCACCAGGTGCCAGCAATGGAGCTTGGAAGGAAGTACCTGGATGGCCTTGAACCAGGGCCAGAAACACTAGCAGCAAACGTGGGAAGGAGCCTGATGTCAGAGGCCAGTGGGGTCTGTGAAAGAAAAGCTGGGCCACATTATGGGGAGCCTGGAAAGCTGGATGGAGGGTAGAGGTGGGTCTTGAGCAGGGGGAGCTTGGAGAGGCATGTCAAAGAAGATTCTGTTGAAGTCTTAGACAGGGATGGCTGCATGCAGAAGAGCTTGCCTGCATCAGGAGGGTACAGACCCAGCCAGGTGGTGGGTCCCAGTTGCTTAGGGGCCTCGCCCTGCTGTGGGTGTGGGCATGGGCATGGCACAGCCGGCCCAAGCAGGTGTGTTCCTCCTGGGGCAGGATGCAGGGTCTTGGCCAAGGCGAAGGAAAAACGGTCTGGGAAATATACAACTGAGAAATGTTCACTTTTTGGAGCACCTCATTCCCATGAGAGGCTTAAATAGCTTTCCTGGATGGCTGGACATGGTGGCCCATGCCTATAATCCCAACACTTTGGGAGGCCGAGGCGGGTGGATCGCTTGAGTCCAGGAGTTCAAGACCAGCCTGGCCAACATGGTGAAACCTTGTCTCTACCAAAAATACAAAAATTAGCCGGGTGTGGTGGCGCATGCCTGTGGTTCCAGTTGCTCGGGTGGCTGAGGCAGGAGGATCGCTTGAGCCCAGGAGGTCAAGGCTGCAGTGAGCTGTGACTACACCACTGTACTCTAGCCTGAAAGACAGAGCAACACCTTGTCTCAAAAAATAAAAAATAAGGCCAGGCGTGGTGGCTCATGCCTGTAATCCCAGCACTTTGGGAGGCCAAGGCGGGTGGATCACGAGGTCAGGAGATCGAGACCATCCTGGCTAACACGGGGAAACCCCGTCTCTACTAAAAATGCAAAAAATTAGCTGGGCGTGGCGGCGGGTGCCTGTAGTCCCAGCTACTCAGGAGGCTGAGGCAGGAGAATGGCGTGAACTCGGGAGGCGGAGCTTGCAGTGAGCCGAGATCGCGCCACTGCACTCCAGCCTGGGCGACAGAGCGAGACTCCGTCTCAAAAATAAATAAATAAATAAATAAATAAAAAATAAAAATAAGATAAAAAAATACGTTCCCTGGGCCCAGAGTGAGAGCCCTGGGCATTGCCACCTCAGGTGATGAAGATTCCCTACTGCCAGGCTGAATATAACAGGAAGCACAACCGACTTGGCATGCTCAAGCTTCCGGTTCCTCTGGAGCCATCGCCAACAGCCAGTCTTTGCACTTGACATTTTGCTGAATGATAGCAGACAGCCCATCTGGCTAAAACTAGGACCTGGCTTCTTTCCTCTGTTGGTTACTGTTTTCATTCTGTACACTAGATGTGGAGATGAAGAATTTTTGTATAAAAACACAAATAAAATGACCCCACAGTAATCTGCAGATGGACAATGTAGTTTGCATCTGGACATTGTGTGACTTAAGCAATTTGAGCCATGCAATGCTCAGGGGAGACTGCACTGGCTGCTGAAGCATTGCCATTTCTCTGTGCAGGTACTTTAACCCAAGCGGTGAGCCCCTGGAATTGGACTCCCGCTTCTGGGAGCTCCGGGACAGCATTGTGCAGTGTGAGCTTCTCATGCTGAGAGTTCTGCGCTTCCAGGTCTCCTTCCAGCATCCACACAAGGTACATGCTAGGGAATTGGTGCCTGTTTGGGGAGGCTCAAGCCATGGTCTTTGTTCTTTATCCCAAAAATGCATCCCATCTCATACTCAAGAGCGCAGCACAGAAGGAGAGCAGGGCTGCGGCTGGGAACTGGGTCTCCCCGCTCCATGTTTGTGGCTGGGTTGGCTGCCTGGCCTCTCCTGTCCCACTCCTGTGGGTTTTCTCAGCCAAATCTCATTTCAGCTTCTGCCTTTCTGCTTGCTCACCTGTGGGCGAGGTCCATGTGGCCCGCTGAAGCTGTGGCAGCTCCTGTGGCCCATATAGATGGTATGCACGCTGGGCCTTGGGGAAGCAGGCTGGTTTCGTGACCAGCCAGAGTCCCCGTCCCCAGGAGATGCTGTGATGCCTCGGAGCATGCATCCAGCTCCGCTGTGCTTAGGAAGCCATCTAGGAACGTGTGAGTCTCAACAGAAGAACCATTTCAAACAGCAGCAAAAGGGAAAAGGGAAACGCTAAGGCGACTGGCACACGATGCTCTGGGCACCGCAGCCCCACGCACGGGCAGCTCAGAAGGCTGGCTGGAGACAGAGATGGAGGAGTTGTGGTTTGGGGCTCTGGGCTAGGAGTTTCATTCTTTTTCATCAAAACTCTTACTGAGATCATTGTAGATTCCCACACAGTTGTGACATGTACCCTTGGCCCAGTCTCCCCCAAGGGGAACACAGCCAGGATGTCAACACTGACACAGTCCACTGGCATCCTTACTTCCACTTGTATTCCTTTGTGTATTTTTTTTGTTCCATTTTATCACATCTCCGTTCACAGACCTACCACCCCAGCCAAGGTGAGAGACAGTTCCAGCTGCACAAGCCCTTCGTGTTGCCTTTATGATCTTGCCTCCAGCCTTCCACACTCCTATCTTAGTATCTGGAAAGCCCTGGTCTGGGATTTCTGCACAGTAGTGTCTTAGTGGGCAGAATGCTTGGTGAGCATCCTGGGGGAAGGTGGGAGATGCCCCGGTGGCTGCAGGGTGGAGCTGTCAAGGCGACAAGGCTTAGGAAAGAGCAGCACTCAGACCTCAGTGGGTGTGTGATCTGTGCCCAGATGGGAAACTGATAGCTTGGTGTGGCTGGGAGCCTGCCAGCCCCTTCCCCTCCTTCCAGTCAAGGCTGGGGCGGAAAGTGACCTATGTATCCCTCCTGCATGGTGTGCTGGGGTCACACACACATGTGTGTTCCAGACTGTCCAGAGAGCTCGCAGCATCTGTCTTATTGTGTGAGGTTCTGGCAAAATGTCTGTTCTGAGAGCAGGAGCTGGCAGCTGGGCTGGGAGGTCATTTGGATGTTGTGGCTGAGGACAGCATGTGCCCTTGGCAGCAGGCCAGATGCATGGGGAGCAGCACCCTCTGTTCTGCCCATGAAGAGGGTGCTTTCCGGAGCGCCAGGCCCCGAGGAATTTCATGGTGGCCAGAGCGGGCCCTGTGGTTGAGAGGGACTGCGGTGGGGGTGGCCCTCATAGGTTTCCCTAGAGCTGGGTCTGGAGGATGAGAGTGGGCAGGTGCATATGGTGAGGTGGTTTCAGGCAGACAGCTCCATGAGTGTGAAGGCCCTAGACAGGGTGCGCTGGAAGGCGGGATGGGAGGGGCAGGAGATGGGGCCAGCAGAAGGCCTTGGGGCTTCTTCCTAAGGGACATGGAAGCCGCTGGAGGGTTGGTGCAGGTGCTGATACGATTATGTCAGCATGAGGAGAGCAGCTGGTGGGATCAAAGGCTGATGCATGTGTCTTTGCAGTATCTGCTCCACTACCTGATTTCCCTCAAGAACTGGCTGAACCGCCACAGCTGGCAGCGGACCCCTGTTGCCGTCACTGCCTGGGCCCTGCTGCGGGACAGCTACCACGGGGGGCTGTGCCTCCGCTTCCAGGCCCAGCACATCGCCGTGGCAGTGCTCTACCTGGCCCTGCAGGTCTACGGAGTTGAAGTGCCCGCCGAAGTTGAGGCTGAGAAGCCATGGTGGCAGGTGAGGTGGCTACTTGGCATACCGGACGTGCCCCCTTTCCCTCTGGAAGTCTGTATTGCAGTGCTCACCAAATTCTTTCTATTAATTATCCATGAAGAAAGATATGGGCTGCCGGGGAGCATGGAAGCTTCAGAGCGCCCTGTTGATGGCCTGGGCCAGGCTCTCCCTCAGCACAGTTGCCATTTAGGGATCCCGGATGTTGAACAAGAGTGCTAGCCTCCACCGAGATGTCGCCGGTGTCCCGGGAGGCGGGTTGCCCCAGCGGAGAACCACTTTTACTGAATTGAGTGGGAACTTGAGTGTGGTCACAGGTTACCAAACCTGGCTTCCCATCAGAAACATCTGGGGTGCTTTACGGAGAGGGCTGCGTGACTAGGTAGGTGACAGCTAGCTGGCTAGTTGGCAGACACCTAGGTGGATGGGTGAGAGAGCTGATGGGCTGGGTGGCGGGTGACTGATAGGTATTAGTAGGTAGATCCTGGAGGGATGGATGGTAGAACTCTGTAGGCCTGCCCAGCGGACAGCTTTCCAGGTGGCCGCTGCTGTTCTGCATAGAGGCGCCCCTGCCTCTCTTTCCTGGCCCGTGTGCCTTGCGGATGACCACAGCACTTGCTGATTTTTGCATGTTTATTGTCTAATCTCGTATCCCCAGTCAGCTGTGAGCACCTGAGGCCAGGCAGCTCATCTGCCCCATGCCGCCATGTCTCCCGCGCCACCCTGGCACTATAGCAGGTGCCCATGTGTCTTTGAACCCATGCACCCATGTTCCTAGTCTCAGGCTGGAAGCACCCTGTCCCCGCGGCAGTGTGCAGGTGGTGCAGGGCCATCTGTGTGGACAGACAGTATTGCTCCATGCTCGGGCTGCCAGGGACTTTCAGATAGCATGGCTGCCTTGTGCTCAGGGTTGGACTCTGGTGAGGGCAGACACCTTCTGGGGACATCTGGTGGGTGTGGCCCTGGCCCTGGGCTGCCTGGCTATCCTGCATCTCTCTTCCTTTCTGCTCTGTCTTCTGCGCTTGCTCATAAACCTCACCTGGTGTGCTGGTACCACCTGCGTCCCATGCTTAACCCCTCCCAGAGGAGTGCGAGCCCAGGTGAGCCTGCACAGCCAGGAAGCAGCTCCACCAGCAAGTTGTTTGCTGGCGGCCCAGCTCACCCAGTTGTTGTTCAGACTGCGAAGAAGTTACCCTTTGTGGGGTGGCGAGCTTATGTTCACCCAGCTCTTCTTAAAGGTTGCTAAACTTGACCTGACCTTTGCTTCCCAGCCTGGGGCTGTGCACCAGAAGCTTCCGGAATCCAGGTGCATCCTATGGGCTGGTGGGGTGCAAGGGCCTGATCCCTCATGATGAGTGGGGCCGTGGGAGGCCTCACCCACCCAGGTGCTGCAGAGCTCACAGCCTAGCTTTTGAAACCCTTTCTTCCTTGTGTGCTCTCGGCCACCACTTCTTTTTTTATTTTTTTGAGACGGAGTCTCGCTCTGTCGCCCAGGCTGGAGTGCAGTGGCACAATCTCGGCTCACTGCAAGCTCCGCTCCGCCTCCCGGGTTCACGCCATTCTCCTGCCTCAGCTTCCCAAGTAGCTGGGACTACAGGCGCACACCACCACGCCCGGCTAATTTTTTTGTAATTTTAGTAGAGAGGGGGTTTCACCATGTTAGCCAGGATGGTCTCGAACTCCTGACCTCGTGATCCACCCGCCTCGGCCTCCCAAAGTGCTGGGATTACAGACGTGAGCCACCGCGCCTCTCGGCCACCACTTCTTATAGCGACTCCTGTCACTTGTCTGCCATGGGCTCGGCATGGCAGCTTGATGTGCTTCCCTGGAGAAGCTTGCCTGCACTCTGACTTGCCAGATGAGCAGGGATGGTGGCGGTGTCAGAAATGATGCAGGTCGTCACACAGTGCTGCTGAAATTTCCACGTCCAGAGCCACACTGAGTGCCCTCCATCCCCTCGTTCCTTAGCAGAAGGAGAACCTGCCTCTTTCCAGCCACTGCTGCTCTTTGTCTTATAAACAGATGGACCGCCCACAAAAAGGCAAAGTCCCCAGAGGCCAGCAGTGTCTCCTCCTAGGACTTGGGTCTGTGTCCTTTCTGCTGTCAGGTGCCCCAGGGTTGTCACCTGTTCTGGACTGTTATATTTAATTGTGATGACATACACATCACCTAAATTGTACCATGTTCACCATTTTTAAGTGTGCGGCCCAGGGGCAGAAGCACATTCACGGTGCTGTGCAGCCATCACCACCATCCAGCCGCAGAACTTGTTCATCTTCCCAAACTGAAGCTCTGGCCCGTTCAACCCCAACTCCCCACCCCCCAGCCCCTGGCACCCACCCTTCCACTGTCTGTCTACAGAGTTCACGGCTCTCCTTTGAGGCCCCTCACAGTGTGTGCCTTTCTGTGACTGGCTCCTTTCACTGAGCACAATGTTGGAGCCCCTGTCTCAGAATGTCCTTTCTTTTGATGGCTGAATCATATTTCATGGCCTGCATGGACTGTATGATATTAACATATTCATCCATGGATGGACGCAGGCTGCTTCCACGTTTTGGCCCTGCCTTTTTTTTTTTTTTTTTTTTTTTAATTTTTATATTGACTGAGTCTGACTCTGTTGCCCAGGCTGGAGTGCAGTGGTGAGATCTCGGCTCACTACAGCCTCCGCCTCATTGGTTCAAGTGATTCTCCTGCCTCAGTCTCCCAAGTAACTGGGATTACAAGTGCCTGCCACCACACCCGGCTAATTTTTGTATTTTTAGTAGAGACGGGGTTCAAGGAACTCCTGACCTCCAGTGATCCACCCGCCTCGGCCTCCCAAAGTGCTGGGATTATAAGCGTGAACCACCATGCCCAGCCCCTGCATGCTTTTTAATGATTGCTTCTGAACTTGGGGTCTCCAGGAGCACACAGGTCACGGACCCCAGCAAACAAGTGTGCATTTCTGAAGTATTTGTTTTTCACCCAGAGCCCAGGGTAAGACAGCTATGCTTCCTGAGTCAGGACTTGGAGGGTGTCCAGGTTACCATCTCCTACCTCAGGTTGTAGGCCACAGAGGAACCTATGGTTCTTTGGGAGCATTCAGCAGGGGTGGACTTAGGTCCACTTCTTGCCTTGACTTGGCCCAAGGCCTTGATCTTATTGGTACATTGGTTCCCCAGGCAGCAAGCTTGGGCACAGGGTGGCTACAGACGCAGCATCTAACCAAGGTCTTGCTGCTTTGCTTACTATTTCCCTTATCAATGGGGATCCCAAAGAGCACCCCGGGGCTCAGTGCTGTGCTGGGAGAGCTCAGAACTCAGAAAAGCTGTCACACTCTGAGTTCCGGTTTATTACAAGGAAAGGACACAGGTCACGGTGAGCGAAGGCTCAGGGTGCACAGGACAGGCTCCAGGAGAGACCAGGCGTGAGCTTCAGTGGCTCCTCGCCCAGGGCACAACAGGTGTTGTGCCGACAGCACCTGTTTCTTTCAGCAACAGTGTGGGACAGCATGCACGGAGTCATAACTAGGGAAGCTCACCCCAGCCGTGGCGGCCAGGGTTTCCGCAGGGGGTGGATCGCATAGGCACGGAGCGCCTGCATGGCCAACCCTGGTTACTTGGGCTGCAGCCACCAGAGGTCTGGCTGGGACTCTGTGGCCCAAGGCCCTCACCGTAAATGATGTGGTTAACACAGACCGCCTGGCAGTCCAGTAAACCAAGACGCTCACACGGGGCGGGATTTTCTAGGGGCCTAGAGGTTATTCTCCAGGAGCTGGGCAGAGGCCAGACCTGCCTTTGGAAGGTACAGGGTGTAGACTCCACCCTGTGGCATGGCCCTGGGCTGCAACCCTCCTGCCATGGGCCCTGAGGATGTCCTTTGCCGTCTTGCGAGTGCTCCTGCATGTGGTGGTCCGGGCTGTGGAGTGGGTCCACATGCTCCCCAGGGGCTGGGTTACGGTGGGCATGGGGTCCGGGTACTTAGTCTGCCTGTGGCTGCACAGGGACTGCCACCCTGTCCTCTTGCCGGTGTCCCCAGAGACCCTAGACCTGAGGGAGTCCCAGGCAGGAGGCAGGAGCCTGTGCTCTGGACCCAGCTGTGTTACCAATTCGCTGCATGACCTCAGACAGGTCCCCTCCTGTCTGGGTCAGAGGATCACCAAGGCCTGTTCCATCTGGCATGTCCTCGGCTTTGTGAAGTGTTTCATTGGCCTCAACAGGCTGGAACTGAACTGGCTTTGCAGGAGAGCTACCATCTTCTTGGATAGCCAAGTCCCTGTGCCCCTCCCCTGCCCATGAAATGTGATTCTGTGCTTAGTGACAGGTGCCTTATTTAACACAGAGGGAGTCTAACTGGAACCTGTTTTCCTTCTTCTTTCTAGGTGTTTAGTGACGACCTTACCAAGCCAGTCATTGATAATATTGTGTCTGATCTCATTCAGATTTATACCATGGACACAGAGATCCCCTAAGGCCCTGGCCCAGGCCTGCCCAAAGAGAAGCCCAGGATGGTTGGCTGCCTGGGGACATTGCCACCACGTCGCCATGACGGCTGGTCCCCAGAGGACCGGCTGGGAGGACTGGTTTGCTGCTGGAGAAGGACTGGAGAAGGCGATGGCATGCTGCTGCTTTGACAGTCCCTAGCAGTTGCGGTCCAGACGATGATGGGAGCCACACCTCCAGTGGGCAGGCCGGGAGTGCACTGTGTGAGCTGACCCAAGGCAGCCACATCTGCTTTTGTCCTTTGAGAGGACTCTGACTACAACAGAGGCATGACATCAATGAAAGGAAAACCATGAAATCGATGAGACTAAATCCCTAGGGATTTTGTAAAGCCAGATTCATGGCGAGAATGAATGTGCAACGTGGCTGAAATCTATTTTGTGTAATAAAAGGTGATGCAAGTCAATAGGGACCCTTGGCTTTGCTCTGCAGCGCATGCTGCACATGGGGGTGTGCGGGGCCGCCAGAGACTGCTTCCCTCGGAGTGCCCTCAGGTAGAGTGTCCCACACAGCCACCAGCGGCAGGCCTGGGGTTAGGGAGGATCACTTGCATTCAGAAAAGTGAGACCTGATCAAAAGTAACTAAAAGTAATGCGTTTTTCAGTGACTCCCTGCTCAAAAGCCAGTGGGTAAGAAGGAGTCCAGGAGATGCTCTCTGGGTCCCCTTACAGGCTAGACATACGTTCAGCACGTGGCATAGGGCTGGGGGACTGGTAGGTTTACACAGGAGGGTGGGCTCCGGCTCCTGCAGGTGTGGGGGCAGGGGTGATGCAGGTCAGGGCAGAGTCTTGCTTGACTTTACAGAGCGACTATGTTCAGTGTCTTCAGGGTGAAGTCTCTGAGCAGGTGTCACAGGCCTCCCTGGTGGGCAGGCTTGCCCCGGCTGACCTGCCCTTCATTTTGTAGAACTCCCCTGTGGGTTTTGATGATTAACTTCTCCTAAATGTGGGCTCCTGCTTTACCTGGTGTAAGCTTTTTAAGACTAATCAGTCAAAGAACCACATTTTTTAAGCAGCTACTGTGTGCCCAGTCCTTGCCTACGCTCTGGCAACCTGGTGAAACTCCTTGCTTATGTGGAGGGAGAGATGGGAAACAGAATGAGAATGTGTAGCATGGTAGTGAAAAGTGCTCAGGGGAAGAGAAGGTGGCCAGGGCTCAGAAGAATTATGGTAAAAATGACCCTGATGCCTGGGTGTGGTGGCTCATGCCTGCAATCCCAGCGTTTTGGGAGGCCGAGGTGGGTGATCACCCGAGGTCGGGAGGTCGTAGACCAGCCTGGCCAACATGGCAAAACCCCGTCTTTACTAAAAATACAAAAATTAGCCAGACGTGGTGGTGGGTGCCTGTAATCTCAGCTACTTGGGAAACTGAGGCAGGAGAATTGCTTGAAGTCGGGAGGTGGAGGTTGCAGTGAGCCGAGATCACGCCGCTGCACTCCAGCCTGGGCCACAGAGGGAGACTGTATCTTTTTTTTTTTTTTAAAAAAAAGGGAGAAAATATTCACAAACTCTCCGTCTGACAAGGGGTTAATAACCAGAATATATAAGGAATTTAGACAACAGAATAACAACCCAATTTAAAAATGGGCAATAGACCCAAATAGACATTTCTCCAAAGAAGACATACAAATGCCCAACAGGTATATGAAAAAATTGCTCAACGTCAGTAATCAGGGAAATGCAAATCAAAACCATATTGAGGATATCACCTTACTCCAATTAGAATGGCTACTATCAAACTAAAGAAAACAAGCTTTGGTGAGGATGTGGAGAAAAAGGAACATTCACACACTGCTGGGGGGATATAGTATAGCCACTGTGGAAAACGGTATGGAGATTCCTCAAACATTTTAAAAATAGGCAGGGGATGGTGGCTCAGGCCTGTCATCCCAGCACTTCGGGAAGTGGAAGCGGGAGGATCATTTGAACCCAGGAGTTCAAGACCAGCTTGGGCAACATATGAAGACCTCGTCTATTAAAAAAAAAAAATTACGCCAGGCACAATGGCTCATGCCTGTATTCCCAGCACTTTGGGAGGCTGAGGCAGGAGAGGATGGCTTGAGCCCAGCAGTTCGAGACCGGAAAAGAAAAGAAAAAACATTTTAGCATTCAATATATTTTTAACATTCCAACAAACGAAAGAGTGGGTTCTGGAGTTAGACCGCTTGGCCGTGAAGGCTGGTTCCGTCACCCGTGTATCTTGGGCTAATTGATTCACCTCTCTTTTCTTTTTTCTTTTCTTTTCTTTTCCTTTCTTTTTTCTCTTCTTTTTTCTTTTCTCCTTCCTTCCTTCCTTCCCTCCCTCCCTCCCTTTCTTCCTTTCTCCTTCCCTCCCTCCCTCCCCTCTTCTTTCTTTTGTTTTCTTTTCTTTTCTTTTCTTTTGCAATCATGACTCACTACAGCCTTGACCTCCTGGGCTCATTCGATCCTCCCACCTCAGCCTCCTGAGTAGCTGGGACTATAGGTGTGCACCACCATGCCTGGCTATTTTTTAAATTTTATTTTTACTTTTGGTAGAGATGAGGCCTTGCTATGTTGCCCAGGCTGGTCTCAAACTCCTGGACTCAAGTGATCCTCTAACCTTGGCCTCCTAAAGTGCTGGGATTACAGGTGTGAGCCACCATGCCTGGCCTGGTATGTTAAAATGTAAAACCAATAAAGAACATAGTAGTTGCTTGAAATAACAGGCAGTCATTGTGTTGGGGAAAGTTAGTGTCCACCAATTCTAGATAGGATCATGTGCTTCATGTTCATCTCTGGAAGTCCAGGGGACTGTAGAGGTGTCACTGTAAGCACCTAAGGGCAAAGGTGTAAACACCATCTATTTTCTTATCTGAACTTCCAGAAAGAAAGGACTTGGAGGTGACAGAATTGCAAGCCGGAAACGGCCTCCGTGCCTATATTTCTTCTGGAGCCTAACACAGCCTCCCACATGCATTGAACTGTGCTGTGGGTGAGAAAAAAAAGCCATAAGAAAAAAGGAGGAGAGACAGACACGGGAGAAAAGCCACACTACAGCAGAGGCAGAGGTTGGAGTGAAGCATCTACAAGCCCAGGAATTCCGAGGACGGCTGGCAATGCCCAAAGCTAAGAGGAGGTCCTGGAACAGATTCTGCCCTGGAGCCTTCAGAGGGAGCATGGCCTGCCCATGCCTTGATTTTGGACTTTTGGCCTTCAGAACTGTGAGAGAAGTTTCTGTTGTTGTGAGCAGCCACGGGCCACACACACGGGCCTCCCCGAGACCCCTGCACAAGCCTTTACTCCCAGGACTCAGCTGTTTCACTGAGTACCAATTTTCCCCCGTGGCACCTGTGTCATATCCGAAGCAGAAGCTTGTGGACAGGGGATTCACAGACACAAATTTGCGATTCTTTTAGGGTAGCATGATATCTCTCCATGAAGCGCCAGCTGTCTTGGTGTGGACTTTGGCTCAATCTGGACTTACTCATCCTTATGGTTCAGGATGCACTTGGACACCAATGCAGCAAGGGCATGGTGCGATTCTTCTGCCTGCTGTTTTCAATTTGTCTTCTTTTCTTTTCTTTTTTCTTTTCTTCTTTCTTTCTTTTTTTTTTTGAGACAGAATCTCACTCTGTCACTCAGGCTGGAGTGCAGTGGCATGATCTCAGCTCACTGCAACCTCCACCTCTTGGGTTCAAGCGATTCTTCTGCCTCAGCCTCCCAAGTAGCTGGGATTACAGGCGTGCACCACCATGCCAGGCTAATTTTTGTATTTTTAGTAGAGAGAGGGTTTCATCATTTTGGCCAGGCTGGTCTCGAGCTCCTGACCTCAAGTGATCCCCTGCCTTGGCCTCTCAAAATGCTGGGATTACAGGCGTGAGCCACTGCGCCTGGCCCCATTGGTCTTTTCGCTGGTTTTAGAAGCACGGACTCTGACGCTTTGAATGACTTTGAAGCCATTTTTCTCCTCTCTTGGCAGCCTTCCTGGAAAATGCGTCTTCCGATGCTGCCAAGTCGAAAAGGGAAAGAGAAATCCAATGAAGTGAGGGGAGTGTGGTCTTAGCGCCATCGCCAGGGTGGTCACTGGCAAGTCCTGGCTCTTCCGGGCTCAAGCAGGAGTGGGACCATGGAGCATGGGCGTGCACAGGCACAGGTGTTTAGGGATGCAGCATGTGGATTAAGAGAATGAGTGAAATGGCGGGCTTTCTTCCTGTGGCTTTGGATTAGCAAAGGCGTCTGTGATTGGAACCCTGCTGCGCTGCTGATGAGAATGGAAAATGGCGGTTTCTCAAAAGGTTCAACCTACAGTCCCGATAGGATCCAGTAATTCCACTGCTGGGTATAGGCCCAAAGGAATGGAAGGCAGGGTCTGGAAGGGCAGTTTGCATGCCCATGTTCACTGCAGCATGATCCACAGGAGCTGAAATGTGGAAGCAACCTAAATGTCCATGGATGGCTGATGGCATAAACAAAATGCAGCATATCCAGACAATGGAGTATGATTCCCCTTAAAAAGGAAATTCTGACACATGCTTCAACATGGGTGACCCTTGAGGACATCATGCTAGTCACAGAAGGGCAAATACTGTAGGATTCCACTTCTATGAGGGTATGAGGGGCCTAGAGTGGTCAAATCCATAGAGACAGAAAGTAGAAGGGTGGGTGCCAGGGGCTGGGGGGTGGGGAGTTGGGGTTGAACGGGGCCAGAGCTTCAGTTTGGGAAGATGAACAAGTTCCGCGGCTGGATGGTGGTGATGGCTGCACAGCACCGTGAATGTGCTTGTGATCTGTGTTTTACCACAATAAAAGAAGTGAGGAGTGTGCATGTGTGTCAGGGAGCCTCAAATTCCTAGGCCCAAGGGATCCTCCCGCCTCGGCTTCCCAAAGCGCTGGGATTACAGGCCTGAGCCACTGGGCCATGTACTACAGGCCCTTTCAAGTGAAGGCAGCCATGGCTCCTGCAGCAGCTGGAGCCCCTCCCCACGGGGCCTGACATCCCAGCATTAGTTCCTCTTCTGCTTACACATCCGGCCAGGCTGCTGCACACCCAGGGGAAACCCCCTCCTGCCCGTGGCTTCTCCAGCTCTGTTAAAGCGGCATGAAGGCACCTTTGTTTTGTTCCGCACGTTAATTCACCAAATAATAAATCACACACATTACCCAGACCAGGATGTAAGGAGCCTTTCATTTTTTTTATACACAGAAATTTTGGTCTATTCTTTAAGTTAGGAAATTCAACTACAGACTTTAAATTATTATGCATCTGTGATCTTTCTCATTAAGTTTTTTTTGTTCATCTTTGTAACAGGCAGATAAAAATGTAAAACATATTTATGAACTGAACACAGTTGACCAAGCCATTCCAGGTAATATAATGCTTTATAAAGAGGGGCTTCCCAGTGAGACAGGGCCCCCCGCCTGAAGACTGCAAAAATAAGAGCAAA